CTAAAAATCCTAAATTATCCTATAGAACTAAATTAATTTATAAAAGTGTTAATTAACTATTAATAACAATTAACACATAATTAAATAGCAATTACGATAAAATCTCACAATTTGGACATTAAATGCTAAAAATGCAACGTACATTATTTTTTATGATTTTTTGTTCTTGTAAAACAAACTTAATTGCTCCTAATTGTAGAATTAAATCCTAAATTCAAATGCGACATATTTTTGTATTTTTTATTAATTTAACAAATAAACATGCACGGACAAATACAAATAATTATCCAAAAAATGCCACGAAAATTCTCAAAATTGCACACAAAGGAAAATTAATTTATTTTGAATTTTTTGGGAGTAATTCTCACATAGGGCAAAAATCACGTGCTTACAGCTGTCCCTCTTTGTCCGAAAAGACGAAGAGTTTTCGTGCAAAGATAAAGTGAGTGATTTTTGCCCATCCGAGTACTCCGTGTGAAGCATTTTTTGAAAAAGATTTAACCGAACCTTTGCTTCAAAGGTTTCCTACATATCCCTAGCTAGAAGGGAATCAGGTTAATGTAGTTCGGGAAGTTTTGGTAGCTGGGACTACCATGGGACTACCATGGGACTGCAATGTTACTGCTGTTGCATGTTGTTATTACTGTTTGCCGACCTCCTTATTACACCATGCTGAAAGAAAACAAGAAGCTAGACTAAACTATAGTCTATGAATTACAAAATCTTATCTAGATCTTCAGTCGTGCTCTTGTGTCTCTTGTTGCTTTGATGTCTCGGTGACTCCTCGGGTATTTCTTTACTTCTGATTTGTCTTGTATTGTCCCTTGACTGTCGATCTCGAACTGCTCATTTTCTTCTCAGGAGCTTCGCATCATTTTTCCATCGAATCTTGAACTTCCTTCCTCTGCTGGGGATTCTTGTTGTTTCCCGCTGGGGATTTCGGCTGTATTCCTCTGCTTTACTGACTTGAAATGTATTCCTCTGTTATATGGGCGGGCTCCCAACTTCTGGCCTTAAAATGTAAAGACTGAAATGTATTCCTCTGTTATATGGGCGGGCTTAGGGGTGGGCGTTCGGTATTTCGGTTCGGTATTTCGGTATTCGGTTTATCAATTGTGTATACCAAATACCGTACCAAATTATTTCGGTACGGTTTGGTATTTCTTACTTTGGTCCGGTACGGTTTCGGTTTAACAATCAATGAACAATCAATGCTAAGTGCTAACAGTGCACATGGACAATTGAAATTTTCACTCTAAAAGAATATGTTTTTCGATATATAACACTATAACATAGTAACACTAACAGTGCACAACTGCACAACCACAATGTGCACATGGCTGAAAGTCTGAAACAAGAATAACATCTGCAGTTGCAACTTGCAAAGGCAACCTTGCACGCCAGTATACTGAACTCAATGTCAATATTGTATGTCATACAAACTTGCAAATTTGCAATGAATCTGGCGTATGCTGTAGTTGGCAAAAGCTGGCCAACTGCACAATGCACATTACTGATTACGCAACTATATTAAACAACTTAAAGTCTTAAACACAGTTAAACACTTAACATAGTCCAACAAGTCCAACAACTTAAACACAGTTAAACAAGTTAAACACAGTCCAACAAAAACAGTCTTAACCCTTAAGTATTAACACTTAAACACAGTGCAACACTGCAACTGGCCAACTGCAAGTCTGCACAGTCTTAAAACTTAAATAGTTAAACATAGTGCAATAAAAAACAGAGAGGGCATCCCTCAACAAACAGTCTTGAGCAGTAGCACGGCCTCACGGGGCGTTGAGCAGTAGCACGGGGCATGATTGCACTTGAACCTAAGCTATGTGAATAGAGTGTTCAACCAAAGCTGTTATAACACGACCAAGAGTAAGCAAACTCTTATTGATTTCCCCCGCTTCTCTTGCACGAGCCTGAATTCAAACAGATATAGTTGTTGTAAGTTGGATTCGCTTTATCAGGGTTAATCCATACAAGACTTGTTACCACCATTCCAGAAGATGCATATAACCGACCGCAGCTTGTTTGGGATTGAAGCATAGTTGTTATCATGTTCTTTTTTGTTTTTTTCTAGTGCTAATTTGTCATTTAGTTAACATTTATTTGAATAACAGAGTATAAGAGAAATGTAAAAGCTTTCCAATTTTGCTTTAAAGCACAAATCTGTGATGCTAATATCATACCTCTCGTGCACCTGATCGAGAAATATTTTCTGATCCTGCTAAATCAACAAGATTGAGCTTGCCACACTTAATGAGCTCCTCATCTCCAACAGTCATTTCTTTGACATGAATAGTTATGCTAAAAACAGAGTGAGAACGGCTGCAGAAGAAGAGTATCATTAACTTGTCGCTTAACATTTACTTTTTAAATCGATTAAAGCTAACAGGTCCTACCTGCTGCGTTTGTTCAATAGAGTGTCTGTTGTGCGCCTCCTGGCTGCTCCTCGCTCCAGGAGGTTATAAATGTCGTTTGTAAAACAGAAACTTCTCTTTTACTTTCATTACATGTTATGGCCTTTGGAACATTTATCCTTTGCTCATCATCATTCAATGGCCTGAAACAACAACAACAACACTAAGATTTGTCAAATGAAATTTGTAGCATTTGTTTTTCTTGAAGCCAATGTGTAAGAACATCAATCAGCAACAATGCATCCAATCCTAAGCCATTGATGTCCATATTGAGTGTGTTTTTTCATATTCAATTTTATAAGCACATAACGATAATAAAAAAAAGGCAGGTTTACAGCATATAAATCATGTCCTGAAATATGATTTCAACCAAAAGAATAGAGTCCAAGTGTCTGTTGTTAGGCAAATTTCAACCGGGGCGACTAAAAGAATAGAGTGTTCAACCAAAGAGAGCATTCTGCTATTGTTAGTTGCTCTGCTCATATGGTAAAGATCTAAAAATCAGACATAAACAAAGTAATCATATGGTAAGCCTAACACATAGTCGTGTACTCACAACTATTATTATACAAGCAAATGAATTAAACAGCATGAAGCCATGAACGTGATACAAAATACAAATGATATTTTCCTACTAAAGGGAAAAGCTCGGAACAACAGTTCATTCAATCAGCAGTACAACCAAAAGAAAGCGAAACAACAAACCTCTAAAATTGAGGAGTGAGGAATCAAATCGAGCTGGAAATCGCCGCCTATAACCCTAAAATAGTTTGATGCAGAAAATCAAAAATTAAATCTCAAAAAAAACCTCAGAGAGTAGTCGAGTACTGGGATGAGATCATGAGAATGAGATGAGACTTACAAAACTTACAAAAGTAGTGAAGTTAACCGGTGAAGATGAGATGAGACTCGAGCTCGAATGTCGACTGGTCGTAACTCGACTCGCAGACTGATATCCTAGAGTCGCAGTCGATTCTCGTCTTCTTCTTCTCGTTCTCGGTGATATCTCCTAAGCACCGCGAAGGCTGAACTTAAGCAGTAAGCAAACCCTAATGCTAATACCCTAAGCAGTCTAACTCGAATTCTCGATGAGTCTGAGAGTCTGAGTGTTGGATGGACTGTTGAGTGTTGGGTAATGGGTAATCGTCTAAGTCTAATGTCTAATACCGAAAATAGGTGTAATTGGGTTTGGGGCACAGCTGGGCCTGGGTGTGGGCGTATGGGTTGTGGCCCAAAATCAAATAAAATAGGTAATTGGGTTTGGGTTGTATAATATATTACCAAATTTCGGTATTTCGGTTTACCGAAATAATTCACTTATAAAACTGAAAACCGAACCGAAATACCGAAATACCAAAATTCACGTACCGAATTAGACCGAAATACCGAAAAAACCGAAACCGAAATACCAAATTAATTTGGTTCGGTTCGAAATTCGGTTTTTCGGATTTTTTTGCCCACCCCTAGGCGGGCTCCCAACCTCCAGACTTGAAATGTAAAGACTAAAATGTATTCCTCTGTTATATGGGCGGGCTCCCAACTTCAAAACTTGAAATGTAAAGACTGAAATGTATTCCTCTGTTATATGGGCGGGCTCCCAACTTCTTCAAAAACTTCGAAAAATAAATCGCCATTCCTTTCTTTAGGCGGGCGAGACTTCAACAACATCTTCGAAAAATAAAGCGCCATTCCGTTCTTCAGGCGGGGCTCCTGACCTCAACAA